TGCGAGTGCCCCCCCATGCATGTGCCCCACCCCTTGTGCATGCACCCCCTCTGCATGTGCCCTGCTCTCATGCATGCGCGACAGAGACCCGAAGACCAGCTGGCCTGCAGGAGACATATATGCACATGCTCATGGGTGGAGCTGGGCTTGGGCGACATTGGTGTGCCCGCAGAGAGGGCTCTGCATGCCACCTGTGGCACACATGCCATAGGTTTGCCATCACAGTTCTAGGCTGATCCCTGCTTTAACTCCACCCCTGGGGGTTGCCATTCCTTCTTCTACAGTAAGATAGAAGAAAATGCCACGTAAACATTTCCTTGGGCTTCCTTGGGAAAGAGCAAGATTAATAAAAGTTTATTACGTGAATGGATATATACAAATGTTTTAAATAAGTAAGTATAACAAACCTATGAAACTTACAATTGATCATTTGATGACAACAAAAAATTATCTTCTGCATAATAGTAAAAAAAATGATGCAAAAATAATTTCTACTTATAAGTAAATTGACATCCAAAGTGTTTCAGAATGTCATAAATTTCTTTTCAAGTCTTAAATTTTCTATAGCTAATTCTTGAGAAGTATTTGTTCTGTTTCTTAAGTTCTGAAGAAGAAGGAAATGGCTTGGAAAAGTAAAGTCCTTTCAACTCCTAAATTAAATGTTTCTATCTATAACTGGATATCATTAAGATATCATATCTTGTTCTCCATGAAGAGGAAGCTGAGATCATGAACTTCACAAAATCAGACATTGTAGCTCCAAGTCTCCTCCAAAAGTCACTGTTGTATATTACCCATAGTCACTGTTAAGAGGAGGGCAATCATATAAATTATTTAAATTAATAACATAAATAAAGATTCCATTTTGAAAATTTTCCAACATTGGCGAGAGCAATGAAATGGAAGAGTCCAGACACATAGGTCATAAAATGGATATAATGGAGCCTATAATTGCTACGTTCCCAATTTAACTTCCCACAGTAAGCATCTATCCATTTTTCAGTAGTCTAAATACAAACAGTAACATAACATAAACATGTTTTTCAACTGTCTTCAGCACATTAAAACATAATAAAAGGAAGTAAAATTTAAAAATAGAACTGCTTTTGATGGGCCTTAAAAATAAAATTCTGAATAAGTGTTTAATAAGCATGCTAGGTTATCTTGGAAAGTCTCCAAAAGTACAGCTTCAATTTTTACTATGTTCCACCAAAGATTCACATTTGGAAAATCGAAGTAAGTAATGCAGGAGTTCTTTTTTTACAGTTTTTTCCCAAAATATGTAATTCCATAGGAAGCAACTGTGAGTAATCTCAAAAAGGTCAACATTTCTAAACTGGTTTCTTTCAACTTCTGCATCCATTTCAACTCTGTCTGATATTTGGATAAATGGTCAGTCAAAAACATTTCAAGGTAATACTAACAAAATCAAAACTATACCCTTCTCTTAATAGATCATTCAAAATGTTTTGCAAGAAATGTTTCTTACCTTCTTGCTGTCTTTGCACACAACCCACAGCTATACATAGTGTAAGAAGGATAAGGGTCTTCCTATAAAAGACAGAAATTTCATTAGACTTTACACACCCCAATACAATACAATGCAATGCAATATGTGTCATGGTTCCAAATAACAAACTCAACGGAATCAAAACTCCAAGGCAGGCATGTATAATATTGGGGAAACCAGATTCTGAGCCCCCCTCGGGTTTCCCCCTAACTAAAAATAGAGTTTTCCCTCCCCTGTTCATGCAGTCCATCACATGGTCCAATCAGGCCACAGTCCAAGGGTCACTCAATCTTAGACCCCATCTTTTTGCACTTTTGGTGGGAAAACTCTTGGTTCTCAGGATAAATAATTTTATTATGGATACAATCTCCCAGCTATCTCGTCCCTCCCTCCTGTTCCCGCAGCTCGACTTTCTTCACTGCGGCAGCCCTAAGGTGCCAAGGAGGAAAATGGTTCCAGGGCTGACAATAGGCATGGTGGCCTAGTGGTGAAGAGACTTGCCTCCCACTTGGAAGTTTGAGAGTTCAATCCTAGGCAGCAGTAGATGTTGCTCTATCAGGGCACAAAGAGAAAATATCTGCTACAAATTCTAAGTAGGAATCAAGAAGGCCCCCAACTCTACCCTGAATTAAGGGATTATAGGGCCTTAAAAATTTTTTGTATAGTATAGTATAGTATAGTATAGTATAGTATAGTATAGTATAGTATAGTATAGTATAGTACAGTCAGTACAGTATTAGTATAACATAGCACAACACAGCATAGCATTGAATATAATATATAGTACAGTACAATACTGTATTGCAGGACTATCAAACTCAAGGACCGGAGGGCGGATCTGGCCCACAGGGTGCTTAGATCTGGCCCACTGGGCCGCCCTGGAAAAGCGAAGGACCAGCCCACAGTGCCTCTGCCAGTGAAAATGGAACTCGGGAGGGCTGTGTTTGGCTCTCACAAGCTCTGATTTCGCTGGCAGAGCGCTTGTCTCACCACAGGCGCCTCCAACATGAGTGATGTTGAACTGGCCATGCCCATTCTGGCCACGCCCACCCCAGCCCCAAGGTCAAACACAACCCTGATGTGGCCCTCAATAAAATTGAGTTTGACACCACTGCTGTATTTTATTGCTAAGGATGAATGGCCATGTTTAAAATATGTCACCACATCAGATAACCCTTTGAATCTATTAGATACTATACATTATAGTCAACATCTTGATTCATTAGATGTTTATCTGTCATTTGATGGGTGATAGTCCAGATTTCCGCAACAGTTCAAAGGTATTTTATATTTTCTTTGTCCCAATGAATTTCATTTTTCCTCCAGAACTTGGCTGTCCCTCTAGGAAGAATGCTTGCTACATCAGCTTAATACAGCGGAGTACTTCTTATGAGTAGACTGACATCTCCCAGATGTTTCCATGCATTTATCCCTTAAAATCTAACGCTCTAAGATCCTAGTTTTTTGCAGTTAAATGTGCCTAGAAGCAAGGTGCATGGTTACAATTCATGGCTAGGGGGTAAATTTGTACCACTGAAGAAATTACATTTCATTGATATCTTCACTATCAAAATACCTATAACTACTTAATTTTTATTTCCATGTTTATCTGAACATCTCCCACAACAAATGATACGGTAGCAAAGCACTCCGACTTGAAAAAAAGTTTAAACAAGACATAATGGTAAGAGCCAAGGTGGCGCAGTGGTTAAATGCAGCACTGCAGGCTACTGCTAGATCAGCAGGTCAGCGGTTCAAATCTCAACGGCTCAGGGTTGACTCANTTGACATTCCATTATTAATCAAGGCATTTGATAATTACATTTGCACCCATTTTATGACCTTTCTTGCCATAGTTATTAAGTAAATCATTGCAGTTGTTAAATCAATAACATGGTTGTTAAGTGAATTTGGTTTTCCCATTGACTTTTCTTGTTAGAAAGTTGCACAAGGTAATATCATGACACTGCAACTGTTATAAGTACATGCCAATCACCAAACATCAAAATTTTTATCATGTGATCATGGGGATGCTGCAACTGTCGTAAGTATGAAAAAGGGGTCATAAGTCAGTTTTTTCACTGCCATTGTAAATGTGAAGAGTCATTAAATGAATGATTGTAAGTCAAGGATCACTTGTAATTTTTTCTCCTATGAAAATATTATACTAGTAAGTCAGTAATGATTTCCTCTTATCTTCTCTACCAGTTTGGAATCTGGAGCATGTGCATGCACTTGCGTCACTCATGCACAGCACTTCTGCACATGCACAGAACCTTCTGCACATGTGCAGTGCATCCATGATGACACCTGGGTGGGTGGGCGGAGCTTCCAGCCACCGCCGCTATTGGTTTGCCCAAACTGGGGCAAACTGGCAGAATACTATCTTTGTAGTAAGTCCAATTATGTCTGGGAAAATGCCAGGATGTTTCAAATCACAGAAGTTTTATTGCGATGGCAATGTGGCCACCCAGTAGTTTAACTCAGAGTAAGTGCTCTCTCTGTTGAGAAAACAAAAACAAATAACTCCAAACAACTGACCTTTCCTGGATTCCTGTTGTCACTCGTAATGATGATAACATTAACAGAGACACTTTAAGAAGCAAATAAGAAGTGGCTACCTCTCCAAAGTTGACATGTAGAGGTGCCAAAAGATCAAAAAGGGATGGATCCTAATTGTAATTTGTATCTTGGAAAATGCCATAGAATTAGTAAATCAGGAATCTGGACACCACTTGCTTATCAGCAGGACATAAATTGAAACAGACAGGAGATGGATGCCAGAATACATTACAGCACTGTTGGTTCCCATCAGTCAGTATCTGCTATATTTCACAGTACCTGGAGCTTAATTATTCTGTGCTATATTTCACAGTACCTGGAGCTTAATTATTCTGTGTGAAAGGAGATTGAAAATCAGTACATCACCAGGAGCTAAGCATGAGGAGCTGAGTTCAAAGGAGACAAAGTTGAGTTAAAGTGCAATTAAGCACCATGGCTACCAGAATACTGAATGTCTGTGATAAAAATCTATTCATGTCAATGGAATTTATGTGAACACAATTAGGTGTGGAATTGCATGAAAAAAGCAACAAACAAAGAGAAGCAGGGGGTAGCACTGCACAGCTGAACTTTTAATGTTCTTTCTGAACCTATCCTGCCTTTCATCTGTAGAATATTTCAGAACAAAAACAATTCAGGATGGGCTGTGAGGTTTATGGCTAAGGAAGGATGGGGTCTTTGAAGCAAGTGAAACTCCTCTCCTTAACATCCATTGAAGAATTTGTGCTTTGCAATGTACAGGTCAAGCATGAAAAAGCAATGTTTTCATGAATTTAACTCCCATTGAAATGACAGAGTTTGATAAAAGACTCTGGATAACTTTTATGAATACATCAAATAGATCCTATCTATGCAGTATTCTAAGGGAAGTTTTCCCCCCACTTTTCTAGATTGATAAATATATCAAGTCAAAACAGTTAATAAGATACCAATCCACCAGCAATACTGCCTAATCCTCATGATTTACTATACAATCCAACTAGCAGCAGCCCTAAGATGACCGTGGATGGTCTTCAAAGCTAAGCAGAACTGGGTATGATTATTATATGAATGGAAGACCAGGGCATCACAGGTGTGTAGGTTGCAAAGGGGAAAAAAGTGTGAGGGTGGGGAGCATCCCAGGAGAAAGTCATGCAAAACCATTTTTGGAATATGGACATAACCATGAAGTCACAGGAGTTAAGGTGGACTCAAAGTATTCTCCTTTGTATTAATGCATTCTGTACAAATGTAAGCTTTGAGTATACATTTCCAAACACTGACACAACAAAATGAACCAATTGTAGCTATAGATGACTTAGTTGCTCTTAAATTTGTTAAGAACCCACTCTATGAAATATACATGTGCTTTTTCCTGATAAATACACTTTGAGGATTTGGCTCATAAACCAGATGGGTTTAGTACAGAGTCAAGATTTCCTGACCACATTTGAAAAATTGCATCCAGTTTGGTCACCATGATACAAAAAAAAAAAGAGGTTGAATTCTAGAAAGATTGTAGAGAAGAGCAACAAGATGATTAAAGGACTGGGAGCTAAAGCATGCGATAAATACAATACAATACAATACAATGGTTGTAGGAGCTAGATATAGTATATCTAATCTAATGAAGAGAAGGAATAGGGGTGACATGATAACCATATTTCCATATTTGAGGATTGTCACAGAGAAGAGAGGTAGACAGATTGTGTGAAGAGAATCTCTCTAAAATAGACCCATTCTAGAATTAAGGAGAAATTTCCTGGCAGTGACAACAATTAATCAGTGGAACAACTTGCCTCCTGAAATTATGGATGCTCCATGACTGGTGAAAATCAGGCAGATTTGGGGGATGAAGTTAAGTGCATTATCAGTTTACAGTCCATGCATTGCCACAAATGGTCCTAGTTCAACCCCTCCTCAATTCTGTTGACCTTTATCTGGGGCTAATTTAATTAATAACTTTAGTTGTCCAGATTCTTGGGTATAGGCTTGAATAAATCTTCATGAATGCTACATGAATGGTCTTGATTTTTTGCACCTGACACTGGAGGTTTTCAAGTAGAGATTGGACAACCATTTATTCAGAATGGTACAGGATCTCATACTTGACCGGCTTAAACTAGAAGACTTCCAAGGTCCCTTCCTACTCTGTTATTCTCTATTCTATATTTTTTTTAATCTATACCCACTTAAGAGAGTGAGAATCAGATGGCTGATGGCTTTTAAAGAATTGGTTTGGCTCTTTGCCCCTGAAATCCATGCAGTAAAAACAACAGCAGAATAAGCAGAAATTTTCATTCCTTTGAAGTCAAGTTTATTTGTTTATATCATCAACTTAGATTCAGAAACATGAATGAAACCCAGAACTTATTATATATTTAGGACTATTCATACACACAACTGTGCTGTTTTTTGTGGGACACCTTCATACTTCAGCCTCTGATGTCTAAGTCTAATGAGGTTTGGCACAATGAAGCTGCCTCTCCAATTTATCTCT